TGATCAACATCTGTGCAAGCCCGTTTTGATTTTGATATGCAGCAAAAGGCCCCAGGTGGGGGAAGGCACACTGGTCTTGTGTGCCTTCCATTTTGACTGGCTTTTTGTTAGATGCTCACTGATCATTTAATCACATTTTAATGAGCTGATTATTTTTATATTTCAACTGCTTTATCCCTTGGCTTGTGTTTATCTTCTTCTTCTTCTTCTTCTTCTTCTTCTTCTTATTATTATTATTATTATTATTATTATTATTATTATTATTATTATTATTATTATTATTATTATTATTTCATCTTTGCTGCCTTGAGTACTGTTCATTCATGACAAGGCAGAGTAGAAATGTAATGAAGAGTAAGTGGATCGCCATACAAATTGGCCCGGCCCTACCATTAGGCAGGGCGAGGCGGCTGGCTCAGGAGGCCAATTCTGGGTGTCAGGAAAGGGCCGGAGATGGTTAGGTACTGAATTCACTCTGATTTTACTGACAACCCTGGGGAGGGATGCTGGTGAGATTTTCTACCTCATGTGCCAAAATAATTAGCCTGGCTTCAGGTACAATTTACCTTGGTTTGAGAGAAAGAGCATCCTGTATCGCTGGAATTCAGGTAGCAGAACGTCTCCGGCTGGCCCTTGTGAAGGGGTAATTCAGAAAAGTGGGGTTCATCACACCCGATCTCCCACCGCGGCTCTTGTCCTTGAGGCAGCCTTTACGTAGCCTCTACTGGTGAGAAAATGGGGTGGGACTCTCATGGAATTTTTATGATACTGACTTCTTAACAGTAGCTTCCTCAGGGCTGAGCCTCCTGTTCACGGGGCTGTAAACATCCGTGGCTTTGTTTCTTCTCCATCAAGTTAGCAAAATCTCAGAGTAGACTTCTGCAGAGAAATCTCTGATGCGTGGCAGCATCTTGGTGTAATTTTTTTTTTTATTTCCCATGTCTGCAAACATGGGGTACATGGTGATTGGAGGATATCAGCCAGAGGCCAGAGTTTGCGGGAAAGTGTTTTTCTTTTTTAAATCTGTTTCCCCTTAATGTTAAAAAGCAATGAATTGAGATTGTCTGTTAGCAACATTTAAAAAAAAAACAACTGAGTTCTTATTGGATTGTGCATTGTATTTTTAATCAGTCAGATGGGCAGAAAAATGGTTATAAAGCTTGCAAAATGCCTGTAAAGTAGCCTTAGATAGTAAATACAAAAGGTTCTGTCTTGCACCAATAAAGCTTCTTAATTTCAAGTAACTAGTTGCTCTGATTTTGAATGTGACCTTCTTACTCTGTGAAATGGGGCGGGGAGGGAGTTGCAAGTAAGCAGTTTCCTCGCAACTTCTGAGCGCTGCGTAGGGCGCAGATGGTTGCATCTGTGCCAGCAGTTACAGGGTGTCGAAGGAGACTCGCTCCTAGTTGACGAACCTGTGGAGAGAGTGTCATTTTAATATATTTTTTTCACTTATCAAAATGCTCAAGACCTACGCAATTGCTATTTTTGCACCACAGAGGTTAATCTTGGCTTGGAAAAAAACAACAACCCTATGCAATGTCTCGGAGTCATGTATAATTGACAAGGCAAAGTTATTTATTTGCATATTTATGGCCTGTTTTTGCTCAGAATCAAAGCGGCTTGCTACAAAGGAAACAACCAAACCCTTTTTTCCTCCATGCAAATGAAATTAGCATCTGACAGCTGTCGCAAACACCTGATGGAATCCAAGAGTCGGCCGTGCAGATCCGAAGCCGGGTTCCTTAAGCAGCGCTAGTCCGAGAGGGGTTGCCAGAGAGGGGGACCCTCCCTGCCGCCCTGCCCACGTGTCTTACCTGTAAAGGTTAGACAACGCCCAGCCCCATCCAGGGTAGTCAGGGTTTAAAGTCCCTTTCCACACAGCGACCAAATCTTGTGTTGAGTTTAATAGGGGTATTTTTTAAAAGTTTTTGGCCCCCACCCACCTTGATCATGGTATTGCCCATCTTCTCCAGCGGTTCTCCAACGGGGGGTCCCCGCATGTTCTTGGGCTGCAGCCCCCAGAAAGCCTTTTCACCCCTTGCTGGGCTGGCCAGGATTTCTGGGAGATGCCGTCCCAGAACATCTGGGGACCCCAGTCGGAGAACCCCTGCGATAGAGTCAAGGATGGTGGCAGACGAAGTTCGGCAGCATCTGAAGGATCACGTGGTCCTTAACCCCTGTTCTGCACAGAGACACTGAAGAAGGACATTCAGGGCTCTGGGAGCAGGTCCGCAGACAGACAGACAGACAGACGCGCCTGCCTGCATGGAGGCTCACGATGATGCTGAAGTCGTAACCAGGATCTGTCATCGCTCAATGAGGGACAAGAGAACAGAACTCTTTCCCAAGAGGAGAAAGGTGCTGTTGGGGCATGAATCATCCGACAGGTGACCTACGGCCCTTTCTGGATCGCCTTAAACTGTTGTGCCTGCTGTGTGCGGTGCTATGAGATTGAGCCTTAAGGCCCAAGTAGCTTCTCTGCAGATTAAGGAGGTTATTTTCTTGGTTTTTTACATTTTTTTAACAAATGATAGATTCCCCCAACCTTTGAGGGAATGTTGATTGTTGTAGTCTGAAAAAGGCGTTTTCAGTGAGAGAGCACGGTTAGGGTGCAATCCGAATGATGAGAAAGAATCCCATCTGAACACACTGGAAGGGGTCGCTTTGCTGGGAGGGATCTTCCTCCAAGTCTACACACAAAAGACCAGCTAATGATAAGGTCGCTTTGCTGGGAGGGATCTTCCTCCATGTCTACACACAAAAGACCAGGTAATGATAAACCCATCAATCACAGTGACAGATAATTTCTCCCCCCCTTATCATAGCAATACACCCACAACAAAAAAAACGTGCTGATCACCCTAATTACCATCATAACAATACACCCACAACAACAAAAACGTGCTGATCACCCTAATCACCCACAATCTCCTGAAAAGGACAAAAAGCTGATCCCAGAGCTATAAATGCTCAACAAAACGGCACCAGAGCACAGACAGAGTTCTGACTCCTGTCCTCTGAAGATGCCTGACCACAGAGACGGGCGAAACGTCAGGAAGAACAACCTTGCACCTGTCTGGATGCCTGGCAGGGTCTGTGTGTGTTTGTGTGTGTGTGTGGTATTTCCTGTAAACAGTGCCCCAAGCTTCAGAGATGCCACCAGCATCAAAGACATTCCAGAACCTTCAGCCCAGGAGCCCAGTGGTGGTCACCCTCTCTGCTGCCCTCTCGGGGCCAAGGGCCGGCAATTCCGTCTGTGCTGGAGGCCGGCAAGCAAGGCCGTCCTGCAGTTCTGGAAGAAAACCCAAAATGCCAGGCTGGAGAATCCCTTGATTAAGCCACCAGAATATTAAAGGAAGACAAACACGCCAGTCTTCCTGGCTCTTCCTCGGGTGGGGTTGCTGGAACTTTTTGGAAAGGGTTTCGGAAAGAAAGCAGGAGAAGTCCAGAGTCCTCTTGCCTGGATTTTGCAACTGGGGGAGCCGCACAGATTGGTACACCGAGATGAGGGCGACCAGCCTGGGGGGACGGGACGGGGTGAGTGGGTGGGAGGAAGGACCAGAACTCCTCTTCCTCGGATCAGACAAACGGCTTGCAAAGGCCTGTCTCCCCATCTCGTCCCTGCTTTTCAGCCGAAGCCTGGGGGGGGCTTCCCCTGGCATAGAGCAGAAGCACCAAATCACATGGCAATGGCCGGATTCACCCTCCTAGAAATTAAATCTACTCCACTATTCCAAGGCTGGGGAGGCTCTTAAACCTTTCTGGGGAGGGGAGTCTCCACGAGGAAACAGCGAGAAGCCTTGCACATGGGTCAGATTCATCATTCCCATCATCCTCCCAGCATCCTTCAGCCAACTGGCCACTCAAAACTGGGTGAGTGGGTGGGTCCTGAGCACCGGTGGTGGGCGCAAAATGTTGCTTTCCTCCATGCTCCAGATTCCATTTCACCAGAGCAACCTGGCTTCAGAGGGATCCCCGTACATGATC